GCAAGAGGGGTCAGCAACCGCGCGCCTTGGGCTGATCTCTGCTAATTTTTACTGGATTCTTTCTCGGTAAAGAAAGCCGGCGCTGACTTTCACAGACCGATGTTCGCTCTGGTTGGGGCGACGATTCAAATAATCGGACACTTTAATTAACTTATATTACATATGGCAGTCGCATTTTTTGACGCCTTTTCACAAAGAGCCCCTACAAGATTTAATTCGCCGCGGCGAGCGCGCTCGCTCAGCCTTTCCGCGATCAGAGTTCGCGGGATCACGCGAGCGAGATCGCTCCGCGTGCGCGATAAAGTACGCTTAATACGCTAGAATCTGTAATCGAGTAAGAGCTAGCGCGAGAAAGAGTAATTTGGCGTTAGATCCACCGGATACCGACGGTCCGTCGGTAGAGAGGCGACGCCGGCGAAAGCGGAGACTCGCTGGAAACGGCGCCCTGGCGACGATGGAGGTTGCCGCAGGAAGGGCCGCAGCACGGCCTTTACTCCTTGGTCGACGAATGGTCGCTGTGGGAACTGGCTCTGCTTCCAAAATAGCTTTTCCTCACTAGCAAGTATAACTGTCGCACTAGTGGCAATGGTTCCTCTGCAGCAAGAACCTTGACCAGGACGGTCCTCTCTAGGCCGCCTTAATTACTTCAGAGCTCGCGCCTAACTGCCCTTGTTCTCTCTTAATTTTCTAAGCCTCGCGCCGTCGCACTTCCACTTCTCTCGCCATCAAAAATCAGTCGAAATCGCTCTCTCTCTCTCTCTCGCTCTTCTCACTCTCACTCGCACTCACGTCGCGCTCCTCTCTCCAAATCCTGCAACGACACAAGTATGTAGTCGCTATATAGCGTTTACTTGGTCGCTGCGTTCATGCGAGAAGAGTGCCGCACATAGGGCCAGCGAACATCGCTATAGCCCTGTCACAAGGTAACAAATATACATGACAAGTCGTATAAGTCATAACTATTAAAAACAGCAACAGAATTTTTTTCGTTTCATCTATAATTTTAAATATAATTTTATATTACTTATTGAAATCTATTCTAACGAAAAATATAGAGGGTGTCCCATTTTAAATGATGGATCTAAATATCTCGAAAAATTCTCATACGAAAAAATTGTTCAGATGAAAGTGAGTTAGAACAGTGGGGGTTATCTACAATAGTTTTTGGTATGCCTAAGTTCTTGACAGTTATAACATTACGGGATATCTCATTTAACGTACAGTGGTTCAAATTTAAATATAGTGTTCAATAACCTGTTGACTTAATATACACTCCGCAACAAAATTAATGCAAAACCTATTTTCGACTAAAATGGACGCAAAATTGGAAGATCGATATCTCAGATAAAAATGTCGTAAGTGGATTAATTTGTTTTTAATTAAAGGCTGAAGTCTTTACTTTCAAATAATGGAACTCGATTTTCAATTTGATGCAACCCCTATTTACGTGACCTTGAAACTCCAATTCATTTTTTAATGCGCGTGGGTGATTTTTTTTTCGATAATTCTGATTATTGCATATTATAGTAAAACTTTCTAAACTAGCGTATAACTAACTAGGCTAGCATTTAGTTTTTAACCCACGAGCTGGAACCACAATAAGATTAGTGCTATGGTTTAAATGCATAAGGCTTACCTTTTCCACTCAACCTAAACTTTACTGCTTCTTTATATTTAAAGTCAATTATTTCTTACTTCATTAATTATTTAATTCTTCTGGAAAATCCTCAGATTCTCTGTTTTCAATGTATTCAATACCTTTTGGATAAATTTCATTTTCATCACAAATTTATAATGCTTAGCTGCTAGTATAATTAAATTTCGCTGCAATCTTGAATTAAGTTTCTTAAAAAACTATTTACATAAATTTTGTAAGTGAATTGAAATTAACAATATATGCTATGAAAATTGTATTTCTGTAAAGTGATGACTAAACAATTGTACATTTCATAGAAGGATGCCTAACTCGCAATTCCTATTTGTGGTAGTCCTTATTTGATTGAAAAAGACGCTCCTATCGATTTTTCCGCTTATTAAAGCACTCTTGAAAGTCAGACTTCGGAATCACCTTTAGTGCATCCGTCGGCTCAATTTTAACAATCTCTTTATTGTCGAAAAGATGTTCCTTAAGCGGCATTTTCATTTGAGGAAACAGGCAAAACTTAGAGAGCTAGAACAGGACTTTATGGAGGATAGCGAAGCTACGTATTTCTGTGTTTCAATAAATACTACTGCACAAGGTTTAATGTGTGCACTTGTGCATTGTCGTAATGAAGAAGCCAGTCACCGATTTTCCAAAGTTGCAATCGTTTTCTCCTGATTGCATAACGCAATTTTTTCAAACTTCAACCTAGTAATCTTTGTTGATTATCTGGCCTATAGGAGCATATTCGTGGTGCACAAGGCTCTTATAATCGAAAAAAACAATCAACATTAACTTGATGTTGCTTTGAATTTGACGGTTTTTTTTTTGGCCGATCATTGAATGATAGCTCTCACTGCTAAGATTGTTGTTTTGCTTGTAAAATTTCAATAGTTTCCGCACAACTTTTGCCAAGATTAACACAAAATTTTATGCAAATTTGTTGTTTGGTTTATTCTGCCATTTTTAGCAATAAACGAATAGCGACAAATGCAAAAAAGTCGCAAACAAATACACATTTGCGCGGACACTAAGGCGTTTCATCAGTATCTCAGGCTACTGACGAGAAGGTTGGGCATTGCTGGTGACGTTCATACCCTCCAGAGGTCGCCTGAGTTTCTCCGCGCAAAGATATGAACGTAGATCAAATACTTTTGAGATAGACCTCGTACGTTGTTATTCTTCTATGAGATCTGTTATAATGTAAATTATATTTACCTTGTGCACAAATGCATATTCTGACATCCAACAGTATTTGATCGATATTTATTTCCTTATGAATTTCCAGAGTAGGAAATATATTTCCAATGATTTGTTTGAATTTCTTATAATTTAGTTTTAGATTATCTTCTATATTCATAATTAAGGATTTCCTTGTATTTATTTTGTAAGTTTCTTTTTTCTGTTATTCTTGCTACCTATTAGGTTGAGATTATTCGAGAGTTTATTGAAAAGTGTTATGGCCCTGATATAACTAATATTAATATTTATTTGTCTAAATCTCTTTGGTAATTATAAACTATTTTTTCTTGTTATTTTAATTTAAATTAGTAACTTTGTAAAATTTCTTCATAATGGTATAATAGAGCATCAAAACTGAATACTTGTATTTGTTCCATGTTAAGTGGATATTTCTGGGGCAACATTTCATCATAAATATGCATGCTCAAAATTCTGACAAGTTGTTTCTATTCTTAGGAATGGTTTGATAGCAAAGTATGTTTTCATATTTTATTGCATTCAAATACCCTTCAATAAAAAATCGGATCTATCATGGAACAATCCAAATCATTACATAAAAAGTTATTAGATATAATAACAGGTGGCGTCAGCTACTCCTAATATAAAATAACGTAGTAAATAGAATAGGTATGTTCAAGCTGTACGCCAATAGAGAGCACAAGATAAACTAGGAACAGTTTGGACACTTGAGTTAATCTATAAAGTCAGCATCTCACCTGATTTTTATGGTTTCAAGGTATCATTTTCCTTACAAACTGCTTAACCTACTCCCACCACTGATTTAGATGTCCAACTCATAAAGTATCCTACCTTCATGAGCAAAAAGCGTATCTAAATCCATCTATTAATGTGTTACTATATTAGTGATACTATTCAGGGCATCTCGCCCTGATACAAGTGCTTGTTGGTAAAGCAACTCCTCTCAACGACTGAGCTTTATCTTCCTATGATACTGAGAAGCTGGTCTTCCAAATTTTAGGGAGATAAAAATAAGTAGTCGTATAGAAGTACGCATTTTGTAGACTAATTTATTTGAAAATTTATGATTATTAAATTAGGTATTTTTTGTAAATGAAATATTTTTAAGAACTAAGAGTTGAAAGAATAATTACAAAGTAAAAATGCACTTGTAATATATAACGAATATACTTCTCAAGCTACGTTTAGATAAAAATAACTTATAATCAACTGATTATTTAATATTCCACACCAAGCATTCAACATTTGAGGGTATTGCGTCTTGTCTCTTCGTATGCAATACGGGGTTTGTATTAGCCTAGTATATGCAGTCATGTCTACTCAGATCCTTTCAGCTCAAATATTGCTTCATTAAAGAAAACTATGTAGGAAGAAAAGTTGGAATTTATCAGTGCCATTATATCCTGACAAAATTCTATCCTACGATTGAAACCACATTCAGTTAATTCATGAACAAGCTTGACTTTGAATGGATGAAATTTCTTTTTTATCCATTATTTACGTATTTTGGAAATAGCATCTTTACTAATGTCATACTGTTGAGCAGCTTTTCTAGTACTATAATAAGGATCTTCAGTGGAAGATAACAAAACTTCCAATGATTTATCCTCACTTGTAGTAATCTTTCGGTATAATCTTAATCTTTCGGTTCGTGGTCTATCTTTGACGCTGCCAAGAGGTGTCTCGAACCAAGCTCTGAATATCCTCTGTCCATTTATATCAAAATACAGTAACGCTGCATTTATTTGATCTCATGCTGTATCGGTGATCTTGTATTTCCTTAATATAAGTTCAGATTCGTAATCATCGACTTTAAAAATGCAAACCTTGAAAATCCTTAACATTCGTGTAAGAATAGCTCCTTCAGAAAAGTAATAAAATAGTCAATACTGACATCATAATTATAGATCTTACTGAAGATTTTTGTGGCTTTACAGTATAATACTTTTTAGAATATTGCAAAGATTCAGATGTTTTAGATAAATGATTCTCCCTTACTTTTTTCGTGCGAAATGATGGTAACACAGCAGTATACTCGTTAAAATGTTTTCTGTAGTAATTTATTTTCGTGCTTATAAAATAATAAATAAAATTGTATAAATAACTTATAAACCTTTCATAAATTTCATTTTTTTAGCTTGTGGAAAGGCTTCAAGAAGAAAAAAGGTTAGAACAGATTAAACGGAAAGAGCGTAATGAAGCATATTTATTTATGACTGTGAATGTTTTATTTGAAGATAGTTTTGAGGGTTATCAAGGAAATGATCTTTATGATCAAGAAAAAGCATTATTTCGTATCTTTCGTATTCGTAAACAAGCAACTTTACTTGAGTTTTTGGAAATCCTCAGTGAAAGTTTGGTAAGAAGCAATTTTTATTTCCATAAAATATATGCCTTTCTTTATTTTTGATATTGTATTAAAAATGTACGCTGACACGTAATTCAATAATTCTTAAGAAAATCAGTGAATTACAAAAGAATTAGTTCTAGTGCCATTCATAGCAGACGGATATTTATTGCGACAATTAAATCAGGTGCATTAATCGGTTAAATCCCTGAACTATTATGACTTTAATTGTTTATCCATGAAAGTAATTATTACGAAATTGAACTATTACGGTATTTGATACGTTATATTTTGATATAGAATTGAGAATAAGTATTTTTTAATATGAATTTATAACATCCATTCATTTGTCAGAGTACTAAAAAATATTTTAAACTGAATTTTTTAGTTACGGTAAAGATATTTTTAAGTATATGCACATCAAGCAATCCGGTAAGTTCAAAAGCTCTAAATATACCTGTTAATGTACAAACGTACAATATATCACATTTTTTCAATTCATAAATTTAATTTAATTATCATGAATGTAATAATTAAATTAATAGATTAATTAATAATAGATTACTCATAAGCAAAGTACCTCATAATCTTCAACTGACACAACACAAAAATTTCAATTTCTGACTGTTACGGTAATGATGTTTTAATTATTCCATTATCTCAAAGAATCAGAAAATAAGAGTATTGAACAATAACAATCAAAATTTGCAAAAAATTTGCAAAAATAACCATCAGAATCGATTCTGCGTCCCCAAAAACTTCTATTTTCATAGTTAATCGTATAATTTGTTTAGTTTATTGTCCTACCATTTTTGGCACGTACAGTAAAAAAGGCTGCACCAGTGAAAGAGTTAATTACGTTTTATCCGTATTTTCGTATATAGAAAGGTCTCATTAAATTAAAAAAATATCTTGTGAAATTAAAAAATATTCATTATTCGTTGTGATTGATGTAATAAAGACGATATAAAAAGCTTTATATACACTTGTTCAGGCAGTTCAGAATTAGAGCTCCGTGTACTAACTATTTCGTTAATTAGGTGTTTATATTGCTTTTACGAGCGGAGAAAATGGTGAAAAATAGGCTAAAGGGTGTAACGGGGTGAATGCTCCGTTCTTCTTCCGATTATTCTGTCAACGCGCAATCGTATCGAGATGCGCGGTGCTATCAAAATATTCAAATTCATTATTCGGAGAGCAGGAGGGGACGGGAGTCAGTCAACCAACTTGCTATTAGTTAAAAATGACAACAGCGAAATTATAATATCTATCACATGCGAGTTAATTTATTTACCTATTCTCTACAGTATACTTGGCCCGCGTGTTTATGTTTACGAAGCGCGCGCGCGTCAATAACATGCAGTGCCAGAGCAGCCGCAGCTCTTTGTTCGCTGAGTTAATACATGCATGCTGTCGATCTTTACAGAGTACGAGGGATTAACCATTCGTTCCGCGTCGTCATATAAAAAATCGCAATACTAAGCTGGCCAGCTTACCTTATTAGCGGTCGTACTATTAGCAGGGGGAGGAGGCGGAACCTCTCACTCACTCGCACTCTCACAACAGTGACGACGAAAGTGCAGCTGGTGTAAATGTCTGCTCAATTCAACTGGCTCACTTCAGCACTCGGAAACTCTGGAAAACTCTCGTTATTGCTAACTGTGGTTGGATGCTCAGATAACTAATCCTCGACTGGTTCTTTTATATTCGCGTGGGTTCCGTCCCGTCTCATACCGAGTTCCCTTTTTCTATTTTCCCCAACCAGTAGGTGCTGCCCTCGCAGGCAGCTGCATAGTTGAGGCGATAGCGCTAATAAGACGTTTACCATCACAAGGGGTATAATATAGAGTGGAGAGACTTAAGAAGAGAAGGTAAAAGAGGAAGTAAAATAGGAGACTGTATAATGGCAATCAGAGAGAAGAAAGAAGGAATAAAGGTGAAATGGAGGAAAGAGAAGTCGGAAGAGGTAGTCATAGGGAAAATGGACATAGAAAAAAATGGAATTACAGTGGCAACAGTATATATGAGGCACAGAAGAAAATAGAACTATGAAATATTAAAGAAATCTACGGAAAAAATAAGAGATGGGATAATGATAATAAAAGAGGATTTCAACGCAAGAACGCGAAAGGATGGCAGAAGATAGAATTAAGAGAAAGGGAAGGATGAATGTATACTTGATAGAGGTGCAAGTACGAATCGTATACACAAAGTTAAATTAATAATGTTACCTTTGCTAAAAAGTCCGAATAATATAATTTATTACTGAATCGTTGTTTAATTATAATGAGGCGAGGTTTACTATACAATAATAACAAAATAAAGCATTATCTAAATAAGAACTTTTATTACAAGAATAAACAAAGATTGTCAGCCGGCATAAAAAGCCCTAGTCGTAAGTGGGGGAAAAGGCATTTGAACAATCATAAAAATACAATAAATCAAATAATAAATATAAACTCGACCAAAGGCAAATCAAAACAATGTTACGGTTCTAATTAAATGAGACTCGATCAGCTTATAAAAGTACGTAGTTGAATGGTCATTTAAATGATTAACGCTTACTCGGGTAACGCTCGCACCCACACACGGATTAGGAAGATGTCCTCAAGATGCTATAAGGCACTCGGTAGCTCCGACGTCTTGGAAACGGGTCAACTCTCGCTACATCGTAGCCGAGAGGAGAATGGGCAAAGCCGCATGGTTATGGACACCCCAGATAATGCGTCGCGTCCTCTCTCAAGGCAGCAGGCAGTCCCGTCTTTAGACAAGAGAAAGTCTCGAGGTACAGTGCCGCTCACGCACTTTTACCCCCCCCCCCCCACGGGCAAAATCAGTCTAACTTCAAAGTTTTATATCTCTGGTAGAAATTAACATACAGAGACGCGCGTGGGTGCGTTTGAAAGGTCTTTCGGAGAGCTTTCGAATGATATGACTCATGGTTGCCATCGATTGTTTTTTTAAATTTTGCAACAATTATGCAAAATTGAAAATTCTGAAATTTTTTTATTATTTTTGACAATTAGCCAATTTTGGAAAAAAAATCGTACGAAAATTTGAAGTACACCATTTTTTAGCTATTACCAAGCCCTATCTGAATCACTCATCAAAAATTTATTTTCGTCAAATATAACGCGCGCACGGGCATTTTTTCCTGGAAGTGACAGTTTTTTTCAACATTTTTTATCTCCGTCAAATTGTAACAATCGAAAAAAATTTATAGGACAAAAAATGTTTGTTGTTTCACGTAGAATACTGCAATAATTTTTTTTTTGGTTTTTCGAAAAATTTTTTTTTTCGGTTTAAATTATTTTTCAAGGTCGAAAAAAAAAAGATTTTTTTTTTTATGTAATTTACGATACTTGTTATGTAGTATTATTAATGGGTGGAAAAAAATTTTTTTTTGTGGTTTCTCATTTTTTTAGCGTACCGACTGTGAGAAAAAAAAATTGAAAAAAACCGAAAAAAAAAAAATTTTTCGAAAAACCAAAAAAAAATTATTGCAGTATTCTACGTGAAAAAACAAACATTTTTTCTCCTATAAATTTTTTTCGATTGTTACAATTTGACGGAGATAAAAAATGTTGAAAAAAACTGTCACTTCCAGGAAAAAATGCCCGTGCGCGCGTCATATTTGACGAAAATAAATTTTTGATGAGTGATTCAGATAGGGCTTGGTAATAGCTAAAAAATGGTGTACTTCAAATTTTCGTACGATTTTTTTTCCAAAATTGGCTAATTGTCAAAAATAATAAAAAAATTTCAGAATTTTCAATTTTGCATAATTGTTGCAAAATTTAAAAAAACAATTGATGGCAACCGTGAGTCATATCATTTGAAAGCTCTCCGAAAGACCTTTCAAACGCACCCACGCGCGTCTCTGTACGTTAATTTCTACCAGAGATATAAAACTTTGAAGTTAGACTGATTTTGCCCGTGGGGGGGGGGTAAAAGTGCGTGAGCGGCACTGTACGTCACCGCGTTGGATACAGCTCCGCAGATGCTTGTTAAACAAAAAAGGACTCGTACACACACAAAATCATACACCAAACTTAATACACAGGTCCAAGAAAACTTAAGAGAAAACGTTGTTCCTATAAGAACACAATGAATAAATATATGATTAGTATAATTTAATCAACCAAATATTCATAAAATGAATATTTTTATGAAATTCATAAAATTAATGATAATGATATTGATATAATTAAATGTCTAGAAGAAGTAAAAATATATAGAATTAATCCCATAAAATTATTTGATATAATATTTACCCCCGTCCCTCTCCCCCAGACCCTACGCCTTTCAGGAAAGGTATACTTCTGCAGGTGAGTAGTCATATTAATCATACAATTTTTTTTATTATATTCAAACTTGTTCTTCAATCTTTCATTATTTTGCATGTTATATTGGTTTTCTTGAACAATTATATTCCAGTCTTTTTTGTAAAATATAATACTGTAATTATAAGAATAATCAAATTCACAGCTACTTGTTTATGTTTTTTATCAAAAATATATGATATACTTACGAATAACTCTACTTATTATAGCTACAACATCGAATAAGTATACTCAAAAAATATATATGTTAATTTATACCTGCAATTAACTAGAGAACGATGTGAAATCACTTATCTGCATTAGACGAGTAGATTGATACGATTAATAAGTAACTGTTATATTTACTGTAAATTGTCTATTGTAGTGGTTCCTACATTCCCACTATTAATGTTGTTACTTTTGAATAGTAGAAAAGATGTAAGGTTCATAAATAATTTTAGCGTGTAGCATCATCGCGTATGTCGCTTATTTCTAAGAGAATATACTTTCGTTCAATTTCGCTTTCTAACATTAACATCATGCATTGAAGTATTTCCAATGATGGAAAAAAAGTTTGAATAAACTTTATAAGAGTACTCGTCGGGCCCGTCGTTATCCAAATCAATATCAAAACAAAATCATACATATCTATGACTATTCCGCGTTGGTACTGTGGCTGATACAAGTATA